GGAATTTTTGATTGAAAGTAAATAACGTTTAGCCGCCGGTCCAGCTATTGTCTGACTGCGCGGAAGAATTCCGGGGTGAAAGTTGGAATCGAATTGTCCTTCTGATAAAAAGAAGTGGGGGAATTCGGAGGAACGCGTCACTTCCCCCCGTTCTCCAGGGGAATCACAAGTGAGATTGACTGTCTCCTGGGGAGAGGAATCAGTGTTGTCTGAAGAGTAGGAACCCCGACGTGGATTGTCCAAATTGAGGTACGAGGCGCTGAATGTGGGTTGTACGAAGTACCGCAAATGGCCTGCCAACTGCAATAAAGACAGAGGGGAAGGCAGAAACGTTGTTAAGTGCATGAAATGTGCAGGTAAAGGAGTCCGTTAAGTTCTTGGTGAGAAGTAGCAGACAGCCTTAGAGAGTATGGGGCTTATCGGGAATACTAGCAGAATAAGATTTCGGAACGTGTCTCAAAGTCAGTGATCTCATCACACCTACCACAAGCGAACCACGAATATTACAGGAAAGGAGGAAGAAGGCAGAAAACCATGGATTGATATTTAAGAACGCATTTCTGCCCCGAACACATACATCGACTTAACTTCCCCTCTCGTCAAAGCTATGTAGTTAGGTTGTTTTTCAATCAAAATGTTGCCTGGCAATTTTTTAAAAAGGCAAGGATTGGATTGACTGAAGCACTAAGCCTGGTAGTCCTTTGTGTACGACTTTCGAGCACTGGCAGGATAAGTACTAGTTATGGTTTTGTCTTTGATCGCACAAAGCATATCGAAGAGCAGTGCATGAGCCTCGGGGCTTTTTACTTAGTAGTTAGCCAAATCATAGGTAAAATCGATCGCTCGCCTCTTCGCGACAGTAAGTTATACCTGACAGAGGCCTCAAGAGGTGGGGTCTACCAGCTAGCTTTACTACAAGTTACCCTGTGCGTCCACTGCGGGGGGCGTATAGCGAGACAGTCTCTAGCTAAGGCTGGCTACGAAGCAAGTTGGACACTGATCCGACAAACCTGTCGCATACGAGAAGGTCTCAAGCCATGAAGGTATTGCGGTCTAGCGAATATTCCGTTATCCACTAAGACTTCACGCACCATCCAACATAAGCTTGGAACCGTAACATGGTGAGTTGCAAAAGGTAAACGGTGAAATACGACTTCGAACCCAGGATTTACGGGAAACTCTTCCTACGCCAAACCGCTGTATGTAACGACTATTTTAGGAGCCAAACTTTAAACGTCTTCTGTATGACCGGAGGGCTGATTCATGCGCTCTGAGTGGACTTATTAGTAACAAATTATCATGTCTATCATATACCCGAAGGACGCGAGTTAAGCAGAGCCCTATCTTCTGAAGACAACACTTTAAAACAGAAGCTCCAAGGGCAAGAAGTTACGTAAATCTGACGAGGAAGAGGTGCAAGGGAAAATGCTGGTGAGAAGGGATACCTGTTATCCCAAATTGCTGACAGGGCCTTGGAAGCTGGTAACAAGTTCAACTTTGTTGGGACAAGGAAAACGATGCAATCAATAAAAAACAGACTGGCAGCTATCCAGTGTTTCGGATTTCGTTCAAGGTACAAACTAGCATACGCCTACGCTCCCGCCTACTAACCGCTGACTTAACCAAAAGGTTATGCGACTTCATTTTTAGCGTAGGACCACACAGGACGATTAAGGCTAACGTCAGTAGGTTTAGAAGATGGGTTTGATTTCATGCTTTCAAGGAAAACAGAGTACAGTAGTAAATGAGGAAACACTTGATACGATTGCAAAGAACAAACGACCCATTTTACTGGTCGCAAATTTGACTGTCTATGCTCAGCAGTACAAAGGGACTAGTTAAGTGGGGAATTTGCAGGACTATTGGACAGCTAACACTTTCAAAATAGTTCACCTACCGTAACCTCCGCGGACGATCGGTTGTCGGTTAGCCGTAAAGTCGGTTTTTTGCCCGTGACCAGAGTCAACTCACTGGCACCCACGGAAGACGATCCAACGAGCGTGTTGACAGGTTTCACGGATCTCTGACTCGCAACCGAGTCACTTGACATGCTGGAGCTGTCCGGCCATATGGAGGTCTCGGACAGGGGGCTCTTAGCCCTCCATTCCGGCTCATCAGCTACTTCAGCAGGCTGCAAGGTCTGGTTTTGGTCGGCGACCGAGACTGGTAGGCTATCCACGAGGAGTAGGTCCTCGCCAACGAAGCTCTGAAGTAGGTAAGAGATAATTTAGCCCCGGAACATTAATCAAGCGCTAAAGAAGGAGTCACGAAAGACGTGTTCCCGAGGGATTTGTTTTAAACGTGAAAGGGAACTTCAAAAGTAGTTTGGGTCTCCGTGCCTTTTTTGGGATAGTGTCACTGATTGTTGCTTACCCGGATTGATCGTGTGTATAGGAAAGATCGAAGATCTTAGAATAAAATAATATTTCTGGCGTTTCTTCTGACGCTAATCAGGCAACATAAGTCTTCATAATAATGAGTGCGCAAGTGGCAACGGCGCTGAACAAAAAAATTAATATACAATACAAAGTTGAAAATCAGTTCTGCCATAGGATAGTCCCTGGCATATACGCCATGGTAATTCAACGCAATTCGCAAAAATAGACAGGTAACGTCTGTCGTTATCAGAATAGATGGGGTCGCGAGATTCAGTAAGCACGAGCCAAACAGACGAGGAATCAGAATTAACTAGAATCCTAGAATAGGGCTTTATTTATCTTACAATTGGCGTATTAGAACTGAAAGAGAGAATGTTTAGAGTAATATAGGCAGTTAGTGAACGTTCGTCAGAGGTCAGAGGTGAAAGTTTGTCAACGAGCGTCAGAGTAGTGTTGGCATGACAACGTTATAGGTGGCAGCTCAGCCATCAAGGCCAAGGTTATCCAGAAGGCAGTTTGTTATCGGTTTCTAGAGGTAAACTCAAGCTCCTTTTGGTACGATTGGCCCTATCAGGTTTTTCATCAGGTCAAATTCCACAATGAGCCTCCATGTTACCCACTGAGCAAAGACAAGGTTGGCGACGAAAGGGAATTCAATGACACGATCAACCTTTTTGAACTCTCGACTGCATGTCATCTGTATTAAATTGTAGAAGTGTAAAAAAGGCAGAAGGCAAAGCATGCTCTAATAACCAATTGGTGGCTTATGCCCAATAGCGCCTGTCTGATACCATAGAAATGTGAGGCTCAATTGTTCAATGACTCAACTGTTCGCATAAACCTGGCTCCCATCTGTATAATTAAGTTATGGGAAAAAGTCAAAGATCTTAAAGTGCCAGAAATAGGTTTAATTTGGTAAGACGTACTTGAAGGACATTTACGAATTTGTGTATGCACTAGTCAAGCTAGCGACGGCAGTGAAAAGTCATTCCAGTAAAAAACGTCGGAAAAAAAGTAATAACAGACTGGCGCCTGCTTCTTTATACTTCTCAGAACGTAAGTCACCAGGCCTACACCAAGACTCGGGG